GACCTACCGATTAACCAACTGACCAATGGAACAACCGACACACACACACACACACACACACACACACACACACACACACACACACACAGAGAGAGAGAGAGAGAGAGAGAGAGAGAGAGAGAGAGAGGGTTGGGAGAAGCCTTGAATGGTTACCCTAAGAACTCTGACATCCCGCCAATACCAGCAAATTTGAGTGGTTGCGATCCTTCCGTCTCAAAGTCCTGCATCCCCATTCACAATGCCAGATACCGCCGAGCTCAATCATCAGTAGGCACGTCGTTTGCAACCAAACAACAGGAGCCTCAATTTTTTTTATTTTTTATTTTTTTAAAACAACAGGAGCCTCAATATTTAGACACTGTAATAAAATAGGATGTTGGGCAGCTTACGAGCGACAAGTTGCTGGGAGGGAAGTATTTCTCCACTTTGGCATGCGCTGGCACGCCTCTGCATGCAGACTTTATTCACACCTTGATAGTCATTTCCACTGCTATCCACAGCAAACAGGTATGCATATGACATTCCATGTGCTGGTTATGCTAAAAACACTTGGCAATAGAATTCTCACCCAGAGTTTCACACACAACTCATTCCGTCTGCATGTGGCTTTGATGCAAAAAATTGCAGAATTTGTGCACGTCATGCAATTGTCAGCGCATGTACTCACTCTAGGACTTGTTCGACTAAGCTCTGGATGTGATTGTGGTCCGATTCATCCAGGTCCGGCTGTAACCGACGTCAGATCTAGGCTGTAAACCAGGTAGGACCGGGGGGTCCTCCCCCAACCGGAACCGGACCGGTCCTACCAGCCGGTCGCCCGCGCCGGTACCCCCCGGTTGGCCGTGGCACATCATTTTTATTATTATTATTATTATTATTATTATTATTATTATTATTATTAATATTTTATTATTATTATTATTATTATTATTATTATTATTATTATTATTTGATGTGATTGTGGTCCGATTCATCCAGGTCCGGCTGTAACCAAAATCAGATCTAGGCTGTAAACCCGGTAGGACCGGGGGGCCCTCCCCCAACCGGAACCGGACCGGTCCTACCAGCCGGTCAACTGGGCCGGTCCCCCCCGGTTGACCGTGGCACATCATTTTTATTATTATTATTATTATTATTTTTTAAAGCCCAGGGTGTTGTAGAGGCCAAGGACTAGGCCCATGGTGATTGGTGGCAGCGGGTGATTGTCCTGACAGGATAGGCCACCTTCCCTACCCTTCCCCACGTTAAATACTCCCACTGCACCCCCTATCCCTACTATCCCACCTCAGTGTGACCAGCACTAAGGACCATCACCCTACCACTATCGAGGGCAACTGAGACAGCAGTGACAAGCATCAAGGGGCAATAGCGCATCCAATCTGGGGGGGGTCTTACCAGTTTTTTTTTGGGTCAGGAGGCCTCCACACAGGCCGTGGAGGTGTCCTGGCCCAAAAAGAAATCAGACCGGGTCTGGTAGGCCCGCCAAAAAGGCTTGAAAAGGGCGGCCTACTGGACTGCTGATCTCAAGAGATCGGCAGCCCAGACAGGCCACCCTTTTCGAAGTAGTTGGGTGGGAAGTACCATCCCTACCCTGTCACTAACACCCCCACCCTCCTTTTTTCAAAGTTTATGGGCGGAAAGGTTAACGTTTGCAGAAAGCCAGGTACGTTGTTGTCAATGTCTGCTGAAGCCCGTGCTTGCTGAAACCCCACCACTGAAGCCCCACCACTAACACCCTCACCATAAGCCCCCCAACCCCCGACCCCTAACCCCTGAAATACCTTCTCCGTTCGAAGTTTTCTTTGCGGATTCGGGGAGATCTTGGCGAGCACAGTCCAACCATGTTTTCAAAACACAAAATTGACCCACTTTTGGGCCCAACCGGAAGTCCGGTTGGGCCACCGGGGGTCCAACCGGCCCGGTTGGATCCCACCCAGTCCAACCAGCCGGTTGCCGGCACAGCGTAGCGTCAGATACATTTTCTAAAGTGCTAGCGTGAGTATGCCCTCAAAGCTTCCGAACCCTGTAGATATTCTTGTCAAATATCTTGTACTTCTTTTTTTGTTTTTTTTTGGGTCCTGATATAAGGTGAGTGTGGGTCTCTTGCCATTAACTGGCACGCTGGCTGCGGCTGTCATGCTTCCCTGTAGCTGGAAGGCGCCAAACCATTGTGCTAAAGAATAATGCAGCTGCAAAGAGGAAGATAAGAGGGCCATTCACCATGGGCCTATATGCTAATAAGAGATTATAAGACAACAAAAAAGGTGCTTCGCAGGTCCATCTTCCACAAATGGAAGTATTCAACATGAAGAGGTGGGATGACTGGGACATCAGTGACTTTAAGCAGTGGCTTTGATGGATGCCCCTCGGATTGTCATTAGAATGCCATTACACTGCGTGGGGACCACTAGGGACCACAGTGGGACGACTTGAAGCACCAAATTTGTTGGTGTCATTGGGCAATAAACCTGGTGGGCAAGATAATGAAGTGCGGGGTTCTGCTTCCTTTGTGGATTTCTTTCTTTCCAAACCTTTTCTTCAGAGGAACAAAGGGGGGGGGGGGAAATTTGCTTTGTGCAATAAAAAAGAAAAAGAGGAACGGGCGAACAAAGGGAAAAACCGTTCAAAAACGTGAATATGCAAAAGTGTTGGACAGACCAAAAAGAGAACACTGAAACCGAATGATGAAATCAATCATGAAAAGAGAAGGAGAAAAGAAAGAAAGTGTCGGGGAGGCAACTGTGATGCTGATTAAACTACTCACCCCGTCCTCTGCCGCATCGTACCCTCCGTTCAACCATGAAACATTTTTGTACCCTACTTTTAGAAGCTGTTCACAAGCTGCTAAAGATCTGCAAAAATCCACCCAGTTCAAAAGATCAGCAACAATAAAATGAAATGAACTTAAAAAAGTATACATATTACATTGGTGCTGGCAAGACTCACAATCAAGGAAGTCCTTTACCAACAAGCGGTACTTCGGATCTGTCATCCCAAAATGTAAAAGAGAAGGTTGTTTTTCCCCTTTTTGGTTAGGGGCCCAAGGGCAAATGCCCCTACTGCATTCAGTAGGATTTGAACTGCTGACATATGTATCAACAAGCATCTGTGTGTACCATGGCTATGCCGGACCTGGACACCGGACTTGTCCAGACGTTCAGGCAGACCCATGTGTGGACTGCTCCCTACAGTCCGGATTGACACTCCCCCCCCCCCTCCTTTAAAAGTTAAGAATTGCAAAAAAAAGAAAAAAAGTTATAAAAAACGTTCTTATTTTTCACCTCGGATTTGTCTACAAATTTCGGGATGGTCCTCAGCCAGAAGATTTTTGTATTGCAATGCTGATAACATATCTTTTTTTTTTTTTTTTAATTATTATTCTTAATGTCGGAGTTGTTTGAATTTCGGGGTGGGGGTGGGGGGACTGGATCCAGACACTCTATAGACACCAAAACCGGACATCCAGACCCAGACCGTCTGCACTGCGATCTGGACGTCCGGATCGTAACCATGGTGTGTACCACTCAGCCATGCAGCTGGGGTCCCATAAAGCCTTCCTTGTTTTTTCTTTGAAGGGGGGTAGCTCCTAACCCTACTGTATCCCTGCAATTTACACTCAGGATTTGAACTCATGCTCTGTTTACTAGCAGTTACATGTGTGTACCGTCTACTTAAGAAGCCGTAACACCAGACTGCTACTCAAGGTAATCTACTTGTTATAAGTTGTTAAACATATCTACCTATTAAAGTTAATCAAACAAATCTGTTGCGTTCAAAGTTCAAACTTCAAAGACTCGTATCGTAAATGGTAGATTTGTGGGTGTGAATTTGTTGTTCACTTGCTTCACTCAATCAGATTTTGCTAACTTGCCTAGTTGCCACTCATTGCCCCTTTTTCTTTTTTCTTTTTTCACTCGCGACCGCCATCGCTAAGTGTTGCTTACTCGAAGAAAAAATTTTGAGGATAGATTTTCAACACTTCTAAACCACTTGGGAAAATGAAGGCCATAAAAAATCATTTAAATTTTAAATAATAAATATGTTAAGGATACTGAACAGAAAAGGAATGGCTTGGAACAACGATGTTACCAGGATTCAACCAGGGGACCATATCTCTCTGGATTTGTGGCGAAGGAGCCACACGCTGAATTCCAATCGATGTGGTCGACTTGACTGGCTTGTTAATTTTTAAATTTCAAAATTTAAACATTAGACTTGCTAAAATCATTAAAGCGATTATTAAACATGAAAAGAAGACTACAGCGAGGGACATACTCACGCTAGGGACTTTTTAACTAACGTATGGATGTGATTGTGGTCGGATACATCCAGGTCCGGCCGCAAACACAGTTAAGATACATTTCAGATAGAGCGGAGTGTGAGAACGCCCTCAATTTGAGAGCATCAACTGCTGCCGAAAGCAGTTGAGTCAAGGAGGAAACTTGAACTGAGCTCAAATTTGCAAATGCAGCCATGACCACTCATCAGTTAAAACGCCCATAGCAGTGACGCGGGCTCTCTGTGCTGTCCGCAGAAGCAGTCCAGCAAACACCAGGCATGGACATGTCTGGGCGGGAACTGTACGTGGACATGTCTGGCCGCACATGTGGAAGCAGACAGTGAAAATGTGTGCGGGTTTTAAGGATGGGATGGGTTGCAACTTGCAATGGGAAAGACAAGGGGTTGGACGGATACACAGGGGCGTCTTCTCAGCGCAGGAGGGATGGAAATGGAGGGGGGCAGGGGAAGGAGAACCCCCTTTTCTGGTTGACCTCCATGTCCAGCAGACATGCAATGGATCCCAGCATGCGGACGGGAAACGTCCACCGCTGCTGTGGTTAAAAACTTGAACCACCAGCACTCCCAACTTCCAAGGCACTTTTCTCCGGGGGTTGAATCGCGCTGAGCACCAAAAAAGTGAGGTATCAACTTGGTAGCAGACACTGCGCAACACTGCAAAGTCATTGATTACCCCCCCCCCCCCCCCCCCCCCCCACAAAACAAACAAAAAGGGTGACAGCCTTCGGATATCTTCATCGATCTGACTGGCTCAAGGTAGTTCGATCTTACCGGCTCTAGGTAGTTCACAACGATAGAGTACCATTCATCGAGGTCCATCAGGATTCGAACACAGTTCTGAATTTAGAACGATTCATGTGTGCAGCAACTGAGCTAGGCTCGTTGGTGGTGCAAAGCCATCGAGATTAGGGGGAAGGTTAAATGATTTATTAACCTTTGCGCACACAAAAAACTATTCTAGCTTTGCGCACATATGCTAGTATCAGTCTGAAACGAGCATTTGGGTCAAGGAGGAAGGAAATTCGAGCACAGTTCAAATTTCCTCCTTGACTCGACTGCTCTTCTCGGACTGATACCATCATGCGTGGGCTGGAAATCTGAACTACACTCGCATTTCCAAACGCACTCATGGGCAGGAAATCCGAACTCCACTCGCATTTCCAAACACACTCATCTTCAATTGATGAGTTGACGGTTCGAACCATGAATCATATCAACAATACTGCTGAACCAAGAGATACCAGTACAGACGCACACAGCCTACCTAGCTCTTGGAAAATGTCAGCATAGCTTACTGATCATGCAAACGACCTGTCTTTTCGTAACTGTACTTTTTTTTTTTTTTTTTTTTTTTTAGCACAACTCCAGTAGACTTGTGAAACGTAGAGCATTACCTTAATCCTTTCTGGCACGAGACAATTACATTTGCGTCCTTTGGGATCCTTGCAACCACATCTGCCATAAAACGCCTGTGTGAAAGCACATCAAAGCCAACCGGTCGACAAACAAAATATTCAGTTGATGTAAAAAAAATTAAAAAAAAAAAAAAATGATGACCAATATCCAGTAAAATACCAACCAATCACATCGACCAAATCCGAAGAATCAAATCGCACCAACCACGCCAATCCAACGATCAATCAACCAAGACGGTCCAAAAGCAATCAACATGCACAGCATACAGGAAATGCAAACAACATGAATGGTACAATGCCATGCAACGATACAATAATACAACGAACAAATCATTCAAAAGGAAATCATGAATGCAATTGCAACCGCACGGCTGAAGAGTAGACAATACAACTCTCATCTCTCCTCTACTCGCCACTCATCACTCGATCGCAAGGCTGACACCATTGTACCGTCCCCATGCCCCGTGCAGAGAAGTCCAACACATGCGGCAACCCTGCAATGGAGATGGGAAGATCAAATGGAAAGAGGGTGAAAAGGTGCTCGTTGGCAAACTATGAACAGGATTTTTCTGATCAAATGGCGGGCCACCTCCACCTCTCCATTTCACATTTGGATCTGCCCAGCTAGAAACTCAAAGAGCCACCCTGGCTACCATGTAACTATTCACATAGATGGAAAGCCGTGGATGCTAGCTGTATTTGGAGAGATCGAAATAACATCGGTGGCTCGCAATGCTTTTCGTAAGCCTCTGCAATTGAGGCATTGAGATAGACCTCCTGCAGTGGGTGGGTGTTATCTATACTTGAGAAGGTAGTGAATAGTTACATGGTAGCCAGGGTGGGAGGGTGCTATCTATACTTCAGAAGGTGGGGAATACTTACATGGTAGCCAGGGGGGGTTGGGAGTTAGGGAATAGTTACATGGTAGCCAGGGCGCCTGTGTATCGCCTATACTTCAGAAGGTGCGGGATAGTTACATGGAAGACAGGCTGGGTGGTGGTTATCTATACTTCAGAAGGTGGGGAATGCTTACATGGTAGCCAGGGTGGGTGGGGTGCTAACTATACATGGGAAGGTAGGGAATATTTACATGGTAGCCAGGGTGTAAGCGGAGTGTGGGGACATTTTAAAACCGCCAACCTTGAATAACACACACAAGTGTATTGGGTTACAGTACATTCTTCCCCCAAATATAACACCTCATCATCCTGCCCGTTTTCAAATGCTGTTCGCGCCAAATACAGTTATAATACCGGGGTGTTCCATTCATGGGAAGAAGGTAGTGTACTCCCCCGAAGGATAACATAACAGTTGAACGATAAAAAAAGTAGCCGCACACATGCCTTCATATTTGTGTTTGCGAACTTTGCGTACAACTTCGCTCTCTCCTAGTACCTCTCCAACTCTGGGCTCTTCCCCGGCCACAGTGTTGCTGCTATCCACATTCCGATAGGTTGGCATCTGCCCAGTGCATCCAGGTTCCGACAGGTTGGCATCTGCCCAGTGCATGCGGACATGCTTGAGGCAAGATGGAGTCCCCTGGTCCCCTGGCTCTGTCGTTTTGTTCCCCTACAACATCTGAAGTCCTGTTGTGTCTCCTTACGACACTCGTGACCTGATACGGATCATCCACTAATCTGTCAGCACGGGCACCTCAGCGTATGCATTCTAAACAGACAGTTGCCTGAAGGTGTGCAGCATGAAGGGTCTTAAAAGAAGAGGGTTCACGGAGAATCTACCCCCATGCAACCCCTCCCTAGGTAACAGCATTCACACTACCTGAGAAATTTCCCTTGCGTATAAGAAATGGAACTTCGAGAAACTACACCACCCTTCGAATATCCTTGGGACTTCGAGGTGAAGGTCCAAGGTGGTTTACATTTTGCAAGGTGGTTTACATTTTGCTAAAACGCGGCAACAGAAGTAAAAGGGACCAAAGCTTCTACAAGAAACTTGGGGGCATTGTGCATGCTGTTTCTTTAATACTTGATGTCCAGCACAGCTATTCTAACCTAACAGGACAACCGACTGACCTCTTTTCCCCTTAGCCTCACACAGGCATCTATGCAGATCACATATAGTTCAGGCAGTCTGCGTGTTGGGTACGCAACACTCCCCGGTTCACTGGACTTACTACTTGGACTGGTGTTCACTCTGATCTTGCTCTTGTTGATTTTATGTCTTTGCCTGGGAGATCTGAGCCTCGATATTGTGCTGTTTCTTGACTCTGCTGGCGTCAATTGCGAACTAAATACTCCGGTTACAAGTGGACTGGCATGCAATGGATTTATTGTACATGACGCTTGTTGTTTGTTTCAACCAACAGTAGCTAACGATTACTAACTATTATATAATGCTAGTAGAAGCGCAGACCGGAACTGAGAGAGAGAGAGAGAGAGAGAGAGAGAGAGAGAGAGAGAGAGAGAGAGAGAGAGAGAGCAGGAAGGGAGGGAAGGAAGAAGGAAGGGGAGGAGGAGGGTGATTACAGCAAGGTCTGTGTGGACATAGTGTGAAGCGAGGCTCATGTTAGGCGACCATCCACTTGAGTAGCACATTAGCATTTCTTTTCCAGCGGGGCCTAGGCCAACGTAGATTTTAACTCATATCTGGATCTGGTAAAACGACCGCGTCTCTATCACTTGTCTACAGCAATCCAAACATCTGAACCCTGACACAGCCAATGGCAGGAATTGAAAAGTTCGGCAGTCTGAAAGGACAGCCAAGACACAAGAAGGATGATCAACAGGAATTCGACCGGATAAGGGATGTGTGGACGCGACATGTAGATTGCAGGGACAGAATAAGGGAAAGAGATTGGGGACCCCGAGGTAAAGGATATTCATGGGAACTCACTCATTTCTTTTCATCAGCGCCGTGCCTTCCCACCAACCCCCTGAAAAGAACAACAACCAAATGCTCAGTTTCTGAAATTATTATATTGCCATGAGTATGCATGCATCTTCCAGCTTCTCTCTCTCTCTCTCTCTCTCTCTCTCTCTCTCTCTCTCTCTCTCTCTCTCTCTCTCTCTCTCTTGCGCACATGCGCGGCCTCCCCCTCCCCCGCACCAAAACATATGCACACACAACCACTCACTCCGCTCTGTCAAGTTATGCATTCCAGCACAGACTAGACATGTGACGGTCAGTAGGGTGGACACACACACATGCACTCAGCACAGACTCAGACGCGGAACTATTGGGACAGACACTCAGATCTGAGCACCACCACGGTAGCAACTTGATGTCGGACTCACATACCATGGCTGCAGCCAGAGTAGAGCACCAGCTGAGTGCGATTGGCACAGATACCTGGGAGCAGTTTAACTGCTGGTGTGGTCTTAGCGGTCTGTCCAGGAATAAGTTCGTAACAGGAGGGTACAGACGGGAAATGCCTGAGGGACAGAAATTAGAAATATAAATTTTCTGGTACACAGGACATGGCCAAAATATAACGCCTGGTATCCAGCATCAGGTCCGGGGATAGGGCCCTGGCTAGAACTGCAATACAGCCATATATCAAAAACAGAAAGTTGTGCGGCTGTGTTTCATACACATTTCTGCTGATATGATGATATCCCTAGAAAGGATAGTGGGCGGAAGGAGGAGCCCTTCTGTCTTACCCATTGTGAAGGCCGAAAACTTTTTCATCAGCGTCCCTGGATCCATGCCTCTATCAACTTCAAATGCCGGAACCCAGACTGAGTTTTTCACCCAGGACTGCAGTAGGCGACACACATCATCGTGAGCATGAGACACAGAAAACACAACCACAACGCCAGTAGATTGAATGCCAGATAGATAGTATTGATGATGCCGAGAGACACATTGCATAGATGATGTCAGTTAACAACGTCTGCTTCCAGGCAATTCCCTTATGACAAGCTGTCATCATTCAGAAACTTTGGTCACAGACGGTATAGATGCCATGGATGATGGAACAATACAAGGGCATACGCCAGAGCTTTCTGACAATATCCTTGAGTGCTGGCCTCCTTTATGGGAGGAGGAGATAAAGAAGAAAGTGCTAAACAAGAAGGATCATGAGGAAGGACACAGCCATAATCACTATTCACAGTCCTGCTAATGACCTTGAGGTCACCCCGCTGGATGATTTCTTAGAATACATCCCTAATTGCGCTTTCGCCCTCCCACACAGAATGTGTTCACCGACTTCAGCTCTGTTATTTATTTATGTCCTAGAACTTCAGATAGAACGTGGCAGCATTGCCTCTGCAGGGAGGTGTGAGCCCCTTCGTCCTTTGCTCCCCCCCCCCCCCCCCCCCCCCCCCCCCCCCCCCACACACACACACACACACAAACACACGCATATGTTTGTCCAAGTGCACGCACACACATACTCATATCATCTATAACTTCTTTTCGTCTCTCAGTCCAAGTAGTTGCAAACGTGGTGTGCGTTCTGGCCTTTTCCCATGTTTTCCTCAGTTTCCAAGTGCACGACCTTTAAGATGTGCCAAATAGTCAGCACCAGTTTGTTTGGAGTGCCTGCTATGGGTGCTGCTGTGTTCAGGATGCCTGTGTTTGTGTGTTCCATCGGTATAGACATTTGTCTTGTGGCTCCCTCGCCCTGATGGTGGTGTTAACCTACAGCGTGCGGGCTTTTCCATATGATGTGAGTCAGTGATAGTATGTGTTACAGCTTGCCTTGGTGCTCATTGTGTTGGGAACTGCCTGTTGCTGTTTGGCTTCCCACACACCTCCCCCATGCCCTCCTGCCCCACGGGCCTTGCGACTGCATGTCGTACGGTTACCAGTCCCTGTGCCTTGGGAAACAAGTCCTCTTTCCGTGCTGTTCGACTGTCCGCCTGCCCTTGTCCCTTCCTGCCTCTGTGCCTTGTTGCTTTACTGTTGGCCGCTTCTGTTTTCTCTTGCACCAGGGGTTGAAGACGATTATAGATCAACACATCATGACGGGATTTTGCCCGTCATGCAGATGGATGTGTAAGCGCTTGGAGCTCAGCTACACCGATGCTGCAGAACTTGCACTCAGTATTTCCTCTCTTCTTGGTTATTCGATAGATTCGAGAGTGATATCTGGCATTTGTTTTAATTTCAAAATACACAGACAGGCTTCGGCTAAGTCTTCGTCAACATTTAGATCAGTTGCTTTTGCCTTCAAAGTTCAAAGACCAAATGAGGAGAAAAAGCCCAGCATTTTCTCAACAACCAGTTACTACTGAACGCCTAGTAAAGGCAGATTGTCCATCTAACGAACCTTATTCCTCTCAAAGGAGGGTCGCACATCAAGTAGAACGCTGCTTGACAATTGAATTGCATACCCTGCTTCCTTCGGGGACAGGGACTTTATCCTTCCATCCCTGACCTGCGGACCATGGACACACGCCAAACACAGACAAGTCCACAAATTCTCTCAGAAAATCAAACTCGGACACGGACTCTATTCGAGAGAGGACGCTGCACTCTCCACGACACTAGTGTCCCAAGCAACACATTACCTGCAGCAACTACCTTGTTTCGCCGAACATTACTCCCTACTATCTTGACTGTGTGTGACCAGGACAGAGCTGGTATACATTGTTGTGATAAGAATTTAATATTTATGTTCGGGGAAAGATGATAGCCTGTACAACATTTTTTGGACAACAGTTCTGTTAAAACTTAAAAGCCATGTTGCCCAGAAGACCATCGTAAAACAGAATCATAACGTCAGTTCATCAACATCTTCTGGAATGACAACGTGACCTAAGAGAGGTGATGTTTAGACATAACACAGATAGGGGTATTCAGGAAGATCAGAGCGATTTTTTTCACACAAACATGGGTCTTGACTCTTGAGTTCTCACATACTTGATCCCTTCACTGCTTGCCGCATACCCTTTTTTTTTCTTTTTTCTTTTTTTTAATTTCGACCATTTCTCGACTTATGTGTGTCATCCTTGCGCAGGCCATGCTAATCTTTTCTGTATCGTTCCAATTTTAACAGTGATGCACAAATTCAAATTTACTGCAAGGACCCAGGGTATTGCAGCAACCCGCAAGTTGTACCATGAATGCAAATACTGTCAACTTCTGTGCATTTCAGTTTTGCCCTTTTTATGTTTGAAAGTTGTCGGTTTATCCTTGCTTGTTTCCACAGTCAGCCTTGGGCATATTTCCGCAACTTCAGCTAGCAGGACACATTGACAAAATATTTTGCTAACACGGGTTTGCCCGACACCCGGTAGGTCTGAAAGTACAACACAGGGTATAGGACCTTTCTGGTACGTCCGTGCCCTGCCTGGAAAGTAGAAAGATAAAGCAGTACTGGCCCAGGGTAAGCTCTATCTGGCTGGTTGTTGCGAAGTGTTTAGGGCCAGCCAGCACAATTAAATACGCCATGGTTGATGCTGCCGGACTGCCTGAACGCTGACTGAAGGAAGTCGCATTTGGGCTCCTTTGACTTCCAGGAGAGACTCATGCACTTAGACCTGCAGCTACGCATGGGAGTAGCACTATCCCATCAGCAGCAGAGGAAGTCAAGAGGAAGCTGATACTTGGTAGTTAGACATCAGGCTAGAGGCTGGAGAGTGCGTGGGAAGAGAGAGGGACTTTGACACTTCTTTGAGGCGGTTCTCAGGAGTTGATTCTTGGTGTAATGGTGAAGCATGTACACTTTCAAACTACGATAATAATTTTGTGGAAGGCGCTGAGGGAGAAGGAGAAGTGGCGGAGCTGGCTGTACTCTCGACCTTCATTCTACTTGGCGTGTGTCAGTCAGACTATTTGAGTTGACTGGCTGATGTGCACGGCTGTCTCTGTTTGGGAAGGTACACATGTACGGGCATGTTACTTGCTGGACGACTACGAGGTACGTGGTCCATAGCATCGCCTACAACTTCTGCATGGTCTCTTTCAAGTTTCAACTTTCAATCCCATAATCTTCTGCGGAAGTCCTGCTTGCAAGTTTGGAGGATAAATAACCCGAGTGCTCCACGCGCTGGAATGTTACCACTTGCCGAGTCTGGAAAGTATCTGGCACGGACCCAAAAATAAAAAATTCCGAGCGACACTGTCTTCTGGGGCGGGGTCAAGATACAAACCTGCTGTTTCCCGGGGGGTGGTCAAGATACAAACCTGCTGTTTCCAGCGCTGCTCTGCTGCTTTCATTTCCCTAATTTGTTCCTTCATATCGGGTCCATTTGACATCAAGAACGTAGGCGCCTTGAATTCCTACACAGAAGAAAAGCCAGGAAAACACACACACACAAGCATGAGTTGTTGTTGTCCATTAAACCCCACAGCAGGGTGGCAAATGATTGAAAGTAACCAGATTATAATGAGCATAATATGCGACCAGTTGAGAAAATGAGAGCCATTCTTGATGGGCTAAAGCATGAGCCATTCTTGTTGTCCATTAAACCCCACAGCAGGGTGGCAAATGATTGCTGAAAGCACGAGCCTCGAGACAGCAGAATGAACGCACACTAGAGCGAGAGTCAACCGCAACTGAAGATCTGGCTCACAGGAAAGAACACCAACAAAACCCTTTCATTCCTTTAAACCAACACTACCTTTGAGAATCTTTTTCCCGAGCTGGAAAAGAACTGTGCACCAAGCTATGCCGAAGCGCCAGCACAACTTTTTTTTCCTTTTCTTTCGGCTGGCGCCACCAGCGCCCGGCCTCCGAAGAATGCAGTGTATGGTATTTTACTATTTTGGTGTTTCGAGTTTACCAGTCAAAGGTAGTGGTGGTGACTTAAAGGGAACAAGCCCTTCAAATGAGTCCCCCTTGCAAAAATTGTTAGGGACAGCATCCGGCTTCTTTTTCGGACAGCGAATCAACCTAAGGTGTACGCACTCGTAACTTTCATATCGTCCCCCATACACCCTCCCCCTTCCCATCCATATCACGGGGAGATGCTGACCTTCACGCATGACATGGATTCTCTACCTAGTTGTATTTCAGAACACTTGAACCACCACTACCTCCGAGCCTGTTTGGCCTCTCGGGAATTTCACTGCGCACCGAGTTGTGCCGAGCCTGGATTCCATTGCATTTTCTTTTCTGGTACTCCTCAAAAAGGAAAAAAAAAGAAAATTTATATCATCACGCCCGTCGCTTCCAAAATATGCACCCCCCCCCCAAAAAAAGCAACAACGGTATGGGCCTGTTTTGCGGCCGGATACAGAATCCGTAGTACATGAGAGTGTGCCCTCAGTCAAGGCGTTAGAGCCACGGGGTTATCATGGCTCTTGTTTCCGAAAGCCAAAACGGAAAAAAAAAAAAAAAAGGCAACAACCCCATGGACATGAAAGCAGTTCAATACGGAACCGGGAGTACATGTGAGAGCATGCCCTCCCTGAGGAAATGTCAGTAGTCCTCAGGTACGTTCCAGGAAGTACTGGTGTGAGCAAACCTCGTTGTTGGCCTTCCCAAGCTCGTTTCTGTCTACACAGTTGCTTTTTTTTTCGCTTTCTTGTTCCCCTTGAAATGTGCCCATAGGCCACAGGCCACCAACCTTCTGCCGGACCCCGAAAACTTCGGGGGAAAATGGGGAAACTGCCAGTTTTCCCATTTCCCCCAGGCTCGGAGGTAGTGGTGGTTTAAGACTACATGCCATACGACGAGCAACTAACAGTCTGTGGGGCTCCGCTCGGCATTCGGAACATGTTGTCTCAATTTCGCGACTCACCGACTTACCTCATGGTTAACCTCATCCTGACCGCTCATCATAAGTACCTGATATATCCACTTGTATATACTCAGTTATTGAGCAGTACGGAGTAAATGACAATCTCGCTTGGCAATCCTAGATGATCCACTGCGCGCTTAACTGATCTCATTGCATTCTCACTACACGGCACAAACTCATTACAAGAATTCATCTGGAGGATTCCTTGCGTAAATCAACGTAATCATCCTTTTCAAATTTTGGTTGCAAATGACACACACAGACCCAGCAGACAGCATCGCATTCATACCTCACTGGAGGGCTCTTCATGCCTGCTGCGCACCTCCCCACCATGGTCAGCACCGGCATAAGCGAGCTGCAACACAGATTGAACCAAACAAGCATATCAGATAACATCATCCCACTTCAACTTTTCTTTTCCCATCCTCACCTGCGTCCTCTTATCAGATCTTCCTACCATCCACTTGCTCTGTGAAAAACGGTAACAAAAGGATTCTCTCATCCTCTAGTTCCATCATCTGGATTCGAACTTGGGTCTGCATTTCAACAGTTGATGTGTGTAACGACTGAGCTAGGCTCTCGTCCTCCCAATCCCAAAGTATTGAGAAATAAACCGAGATTCACTGTTGCAGACCGCGGCTCGCCTACCAGCCGCGCCGACCCGTAGGCGGACTGGTCGGCAGTCTGTAGAGGGCCATCCACTGTTTTGTTTTTCAAATCTGAGCTCAGGGCTGTACTGAGCTTGCTGAGTACAGCCCAAATCCGCTGAAAAACTTT